AGATGTGTATAAGAGAGGGGTTGGAGGCAGGGGTGTTGAGGGAGGGATGCACTAGGGGGACCATCATGGGAGAGGGATGAAGGCTGAGGTATGTGGAGGAGTGTCTGGAAATTGTCATGAAATATGTACGAGAGTACGAGTGTTCGTACGTCCGTCAGGCAGCGCATGTCATGTGGTTGCCTGAGTGCCAGACGTGACGGACGTACAAACGTACGACAACACAGGGCTCTATTAAATTGCGAGGTATTTGAGGTATGAGGCGTGATGTATTTTTGCTACTTTTGACCCTGAATTTATTAGTGTTTTATAAGGACTAGTCACTGTCAATGGTTATTGGTTCTCTCTGGTTCACTTGAATATCTCGGTTCCTAAGGATCACACTTGGTGCAGCTTTTGGCTTCGTGTGTTTTGCGAGGCCACAGCTATTTTATTTTTGGTTCAAATATATTAACGAATACACTGATTTGACTAACGTAGAGTAAATTTAAACGCGGTTATTGCGTTTTTGTATTGACTCCATTTAATTAATGAGATTCACTGGAAATCAAAGAAATTTCCAGTCAAAGGCAATCACATGAAAGGGGCCTGTCTGTCAAAGTCAATCACATTCCACACGCCGGTCTGTCAAAGTCAATCACATTCCACACGCCGGTCTGTCAAAGTCAATCACATTCCACACACTGGTCTGTCAAAGTCAATCACAATCCACGCGCCGGTCTGTCAAAGTCAATCACATCCCACGCGCTGGTCTGTCAAAGTCAATCACATTCCACGCACCGGTCTGTCAAAGTCAATCACATCCCACGCGCTGGTCTGTCAAAGTCAATCACATTCCACGCGCCGGTCTGTCAAAGTAATCACATTCCACGCGCCGGTTTATCAAAGTCAATCACATTCCACACACCGGTCTGTCAAAGTCAATCACATCCCACGCGCTGGTCTGTCAAAGTCAATCACATTCCACACACCGGTCTGTCAAAGTCAATCACATTCCACGCGCCGGTCTGTCAAAGTCAATCACATTCCACGCGCCGGTCTGTCAATCACATTCCATCACATCCCACGCGCTGGTCTGTCAAAGTCAATCACATTCCACGCACCGGTCTGTCAAAGTCAATCACATTCCACACACCGGTCTGTCAAAGTCAATCACATTCCACACACCGGTCTGCCAAAGTAATCACATTCCACGCGCCGGTTTGTCCTAACTAATTGACAATTTAAAGGGCATTCGTCTGCCGTTCTATACGCACGGTAATCGTGAGCTACAGACGGAAGGTATTGTCGTGCGTACGCCGTGCGGCCGCCGTGGTCGTGTCTCAGCCTCATTCCGTCGTCCGCGCTTCCGGCGGCACCGGAACCCCACGGCGACTTCCGGTCTCGTATCATCTTTCGATATGCCCTAAAATTCTTTAGGCTTATGCCTAAGAATTCAGTTTTCATTCCTATCAGTCGCTTATGCTGGAGTATTTAGGAGTAGGACGAAACTGAAGGGAAAGTTGTGCTAATTTCCTTATGAATTTCAAATAACTCACGGCTGCAAAAATCTACATGCGTGGCACAATAGACGGTAATATTACCATGGTTGAATCATATATCTACTAGTTCAACCATGCTATATTACTGACATGTATTGAGCGAATGATTATAAACAGCAGCCTTGTAATACACGTGTTAATTTATTAACCGTGTTGTGGCAGCGTGACGCAGAAGTATGGATTGTAAATGAACATGACAAGCATGCGTTATTCAAAATAAAGCCACCGATTTTTATTGCAATGAATATACAGAATATTATTGCGTCAAGTTGCGTTGAAGCATTCGCATCAATGGTGTCCTTGGCTGGCGAGGCCAGCACGGTTCATCTGTATGAAAAATGTATAGATTTTTTTTACGTGCGCATGGATGATCTGCAAACTGAAAATTTGAAAGTGAGCGTAGAAAGCATGAGAATGAATGGTGAGCTCGATTGGCTACATGCGTAGTGGTGTGGTAGGCAAGTCGTGATTGGCTGAGCGTCCGAGTGACGTAGCGAGTAGTGGAATTATTTTGGTGAATGGAGCCTCTGAGCTCAGTAGTAGAGTTGAACTTGCCGAGTGAGCATGTGCTTTACTTAGCTCTGGAACTTGTCGTCCACTCATAGCCTTCCAAACACTCGCATAACTTTGATAATTTTCCCCCAGAAAGTCTAGTGCAACGCTTCTATTCTTCCATAGTTTGTTTAGTGTTGTAGGTCTGATGAAAAAGCTCTAGTGAAGTGATGTGCAACAGAAACGTAAGACTGTGCTACTGTTCCTTATTGACGGATGAATGTTAACTCAAGTAGTGTTGGTTTCACGAACACTTCTTGATTTCGTTCCACTCCCGTAATCTAGTGATCACTTGGTGTACCTTTCACGCATTTACAAATTTTCGTCTTACGTAAGAGTTGGCCAAAAAGTGGGCCGAATATTTTTGTTTTTGAGGTAAGGGTAACTTGACGAAGAGAGCAGAGGTGTGAAGAGCTCTTTGAACGGTGCAAGCGCTGCTCTCGCTGTCGAAGTAGATGGAAACTTCTGATGTTTCAAGACTTGCTTCAGTTTCTCGTGCTAACGTTAAGTTGTGCTGCAAACCTTATAGTAAAATAGCAAGTAGGACTGGCTAAGCCATCATCCTGTGAGCTAAGAGTTGTATTTCGAAATAAATAGCAGCTTAGGCAGTTTCGGACGTGCCCAACTTTCGTTTATAGAACGGAAGGTCTCGAGGCGAACTGATCCGTTTGGTGCAATGATGCCGTCCTTAGGCAACGACACGCGCATCGTTGATGCCACGTACGTTTGCGAAGTTCTGAGAGGTCTCCGTCCCAACGAGAACTGCCCTGTAGTACTCGACTGTCGTGATGAAGCTTCCTACTCACACAACCATGTACGAGGAGCCCTACACGTGGCACTACCATCCCTACTCGTGCGTAGGCTGGCTGCTGGTAAGGCTAGCATCGGACAGGTGGCTCGACACCTCGGCGCTGAGGTACAGTCGGGCGTCTTATTCTACGACCACGAGGGGGAACAAACTGCCGTGGTCGTGGCCCTCGCCAACAAGATGCTGCAGGAGGGCTGCTCCGTGCAGTACCTTGCTGGTTAGTGTTGATAGTACCTTGCTGTGTTGCTTTAGTGGTACAGTACCTTGCTGTGCAGTGTTGCTATTGTGGTGCAGTACCTTGCTGACTAGTGTTGTTGTTAGTACCTTGCTGGTTAGTGTTGTAGTTAGTACCTTGCTGTGTTGCTTTAGTGGTGCAATGCCTTGCTTGTCAGTAATGCAGTGTTGTATAATTAGTAGTACAGTGATTTGCTGTTTAGAACTGCAGTGTTTTTTTCTTTTTTTTTGTGGTGCACTCGGGGTGTAATTCTAGATCCGTGAACTGATGCAAAAGAAAACCTGTCTGCATGCAGGAATGATTTCTCTGTACTTGTGTGCACGTTGAAGGGTTGGCTGGTGAGAAAAGTTGAGAGTTCAATGGGTGCATTGAAGCAGCCATGTAGTACGGTACTCAGCAACTGAACTCAGACTTGCCGCCTAAGTGACTAGAAGTAGAAAGTAGTATTGATATTAGTGTAGTGATAGTTCTAGTGATATTTGTTAGTGTAGTGATAGACTGATAGTGCTAGTGGTATTTGTTAGTGTAGTGATAGTGCTAGAGGTATTTGTTAGTGTAGTGATAGTGCTGGTGGTATTTGTTAGTGTAGTGATAGACTGATAGTGCTAGTGGTATTTGTTAGTGTAGTGATAGTGCTAGTGATATTTGTTAGTGTAGTGATAGTTCTAGTGATATTTGTTAGTGTAGTGATAGTTCTAGTGATATTTGTTAGTGTAGTGATAGTGCTAGAGGTATTTGTTAGTGTAGTGATAGACTGATAGTGCTAGTGGTATTTGTTAGTGTAGTGATAGTGCTGGTTGTATTTGCTAGTGTAGTGATAGTGCTGGTTGTATTTGTTAGTGTAGTGATAGTGCTGGTTGTATTTGTTAGTGTAGTGATATTGATATCGTTGATAGTGATAGTGTTGGGATATTGTGACTAATGTTAGTGTCATCATTACAAGCATTTCGATACTAGGATGTGGTCAATTTGCTTGGTAGAGCCTAACCATGCCAATGATGTCCATGCCAATGGCTTGTCCGCCTTGCCGATGATGCCAATGGCATGTGCACCATGCCGATGATGCCAATGGCATGTCCACCGTGACGATGATGCCAATGGCATGTCCACCGTGCCGATGATGCCAATGTCATGTCCACCGTGCCGATGATGCCAATGGCATGTCCGCCTTGCCGATGATGCCAAAGAGCTCTGGCTGCAAGGATGGGAAATAGAATCTGTGGAGTCGAAATGGCTTACCAGCGTGTAGGTATTTGTTACTTACCAGCGTGTAGGTATTTGTTGCTTACCAGCGTGTAGGTATTTGTTACTTACCAGCGTGTAGGTATTTGTTACTTACCAGCGTGTAGGTATTTGTTACTTACCAGCGTGTAGGTATTTGTTACTTACCAGCGTGTAGGTATTTGTTACTTACCAGCGTGTAGGCATTTGTTACTTACCAGCGTGTAGGCATTTGTTACTTATCAGCGTGTAGGTATTTGTTGCTTACCAGCGTGTAGGTATTTGTTACTTACCAGCGTGTTGGTATTTGTTACTTACCAGCGTGTAGGTATCTGTTCCTTACCAGCGATGTTGATTCCAGACGTATTTATTTCCATTTAATCAGAAATTCAGAAGCAGAAGTTCGGTTCGGTGAAGACCAAACCGAACCACTGTTCTTTCAACCACTGCGTTGTAGCGCACACCTTCCAAACATGGAACATGCCTTCACCGCATCATGTCCATCACCCTCATGTCTATGCTGACTCCATTAGGTACATCATCACACCATCACCACCACCACCACCACCATCACCACCACCACCACCACCACCACCGCCACCACCACCACCACCACCA